ACCGTAATGCCCGGCATTATTGGCGGTCCGGTGTCACCCCGCCGACCGATCCAGAACAGTGCTTCGACCCTCCGTCTCTCTCGCACCCGCACGGCACGCCCCATGAGTGCGAGAGAGACAGAGTGCGCCTCTGCTGACGTGCATGGCCCGTCGCTTGCATGCATGCACGCCGCGGGCCGCGCCGCCGCGTCTCGTGCTGCGTGATGCGACGTCGCCGACGAGGAAGCCCGCCGCGTCCCCACACTGTGGGCCACAGCCCCGCAGTCCCGGCCTGGCTGCATGGCTGCCTAGCCGCTATCGCACTCTCAACCTCAACAGGCGAGGAGGATTTCGGCGTGACAACATCTTCGACAACGCATAGGTAGATAAGCTTGAACCGGCAGCGAGCACCAATGAGAGCCTCGGCCTCAAAGGGCCGGCCCAGAGGCATGCGGATGGTGACGCACAGCGCGCAGCGCTTCGCTGCCTGACATAAGCCGGCTCGAGAGGGACAACCAACTACTCAATTCTTCCTACTCGTCTCCGAAATGTTTCGCTCCTGGGAACAGTCTTGGAACAGCCTTCCTCAGACTGGCCGACTTCCTCGTGCGGCGATCCGTGCGAACAAACTTGTCCACTCGGTGTCCTCCGAGAAATCCCTTCAAATCTACCACGACCCACGCGCGCACTGCAGACTGCAGTGTCGTGAACAAAGCTGAACTAGCTATCGATGCCAACCCCTTGCTCCCGGCCCTCGAGCGCAGTCAACACGGCGCCAAGAACAAGGAGATGGCGGTGGATGTCGCTCCGACCACGGCCATTCCTCCGGCAGGACGTGATGACGTGCAGCACTTGGTCGCCCCAGCGGGTGCCGAGGGCTGGCCCCGACCCCGTCTTGCACCCCGTCTTGCACCCCGTCTCCGACTTACGTGTCCAGGAAGCAGGGCGAGTCCCCGGTGGGGCTGCCCTGGGGGCTGTCCAGGCACTGCGCGATGGAGCCCTGCAGGCCCTGCAGGTGTCGCAGCATCATGGGGCTGCGGCGGCGGACCGCGCCGACCATGGCAAGGCTTGCGGGCACGACGGGGGGTTGGGACGCGGCGGGCGCGCGGCACTGTCAGGAACGCGTCGTCGGCGACCTCCCACTAGGCAGGCGTAGGCAGCTTCACCGCGCTCCGCCGTGTTTTGTCTGAAGCTCTCGAGTCGTCAGCCCGGTCGCCGCGTCGCCGCCACACTGAGGGAGCGAGGGAGTGTGGCGGGCTGGCGGGCGGACGCGGCGCGGGCCGGCCTCTGTGGCCGCGGCGGGAGGGGGACGGGGCTCCTGTACACTGTACGCCGCCGGGGGCGGGGAGGGGCCGGGGCCGCGGGCGCGGGCCGCGCGGGTGGACGGACGCTGCCGCCTCTAGACGCCACGGCGCCGCCATCTGATACCCCCACCCGACCCCGCCGCACCCCGCCGGGCGGGGGCAGGCCGGGGCGCCGCCATGGACGGATGCACCGCGACTGCACGCCTGCACTGGACGCACGCGGCGACGCGGCCTTGACCCACTGCGCACCTGCACTGCAGGGCCCGGCCCGGGGCATGCGGTGGGGGTCGACGGGCACCCCGTCGTGGCGGACGCCCTGCGTGGCGCGCCATCATGCTCGCCGTCAGTGTGGTGGCCAGCCAGGAAGCAGTTCGCTATCCTGGCTGAATCTGGCGGCAGCCGTGCGGTGCTTCGCGACGCGCTCCTCGACGCGCTTCTCGGGCAATTAGGAACACGCGGCCCAAAGCCGAAGCAGAGGGCGAAGCCCAGGGCGGCCCGTTCTCGTTCCCGCCTCGAAGCAGGGCTCCCGGGCCTCGGCCTGCCAGTCAGTCGCCCAGGTCGATACATCTCTTGGAGGCCGACGAACCCCTGAGCCAGCACGACCGCCACGTCGGCACGTCCGGATGGGGTGCGGGTGGGCGGGGCGGGGCGGGGCGGGGCGGGGCGGGGCGGGGCGGGGCGGGGCGGGGGGGGCGGCGGAACGGCCTCTCGAACGGCCGGCGGCAGCAGCAGCAGCATTGGGCCGCCCGCCAGCTTCCTCATCCCAGAAACTTATCTCGCGTTTCACAACTTTGTGTGTTCCTCGGGCGAGCCGACCTGCCGCCGACGGCTGCCCTAGAAAGTGCTTCCTTTGTCTCGAGGACGCCGCCGTGCCAGCGGCAGCCCGCGGCAGCCAGCAGCGAGGGCGGCGCAGGTGGGGCGGCGGGGCGAGCGCCCGCGGAGCCCGAGGTAGGCCACCAGGCCCTGCACGCGGAGCGCGGCGCGGCCTACCCTCCAGGCGCTCCGGCCAGCACGCCCTACAGCAGATGACCTGGCGCCGCCGCCGCCATCCGGGTCCGGGACTGGTTTCCGGCTGCCGCGGCTGCCGGGGCTGGCCGAGTGCAGTGTGCCGCGCGGCCACGCGTGCGGAGTGCGAGTGTGGAGGCGGGTCGCTGAGTCGCAGCGCGCGTGCCTTCCTGCAGCGAGAGAAGCGCGCGTCGCCGCGTCGTGGTGTGGCAGGCGGACGAAAAAAATAAAAAGACGCACAGGAATCAGTGCCCTATTTGCGGGGCAGTGCCGGGGCAGGCGGGGTGGGGCGGGGCGGGGCGGGCCCTTCTATTCTGGTCCGCGACTGCTGATGGGCAGTGGGAGTTTCGCTGGCTGTTGGTGGCCGCGCGTTGATGGTGGCCAATGTGGGCATGGGGCTGCAAAATGAAGACGGACGCCGTCATCTGCAGCGAGGGCCCGCCCGCCCGGCAGCCCCGCTCCAGCTCCAACCACGAGCACGCCCGATCACGGTACGAACACGTGGGCCGAGGCGGCTTGCGAACCAGTGAACCGACGCGGTTGTGACCGCGCCACCTTGTAAAGGCACTCGACACCGCGATGGCTGTTGTTGTTCCACCGCGACTTGCAAGCGGGCTGAGCCTCGCTGGACTGACTTGCAAAAGACGGAGCCGCCTCCGCCCGACGCCGGGCGGGCAGGCCGCGCAGTCGGACGGACGGACACCCACTTCCCCGGACACGGGGACGGACACTCACCTGCAACAGACAAACAGAGGGCACCGTGAGCACAAGGCCTCCACGTTTTCATACTTGACACTTCTGCCGTAATCTGTTCGTCACAACATGGATTTCGGCTTGCGGCAGTGCGGCGCGTCGACCGCGGCGTCGCATCACGTCGCGTCCCGCCGAAGTGTCACGCAGTGCGAACCGAACCGGTCTCCAGCCACTCCTTCGCGGGCTCGCTCCTTCTCCGCCACTCCGGCTGGCCGGCCGGGCCGGGCCGGGCCGGGGGAGCGATGTTAAACAGTCAACACACCTACTTCTTTTTCGTCCGCGCCCGCCGCAATGTTTGGACGCGGCGTTTCCTTTTATCTCGCGGGTTCGTTCAGGAGAGATAAGTCTAAATCCGTGGAGCCGGCCGGTGAGCCAAGCCGCCAACCGAACGGCCGGGCTGCGTACAGTCCGCGCGGTGAGAACAGGTAGAGAGGGAAGGGGCATACCGCGGACCAGACGACCCGGACGCCGGACGGGTGTTCGACACCACGCGTCGCGCGCGTGGCGGCGTGGCGGCGTGGTGGCGGAGGACAGGACGTCCGCGGCCACGCCAGCGCACCGCGCGCGGCCCGACTGGCTGCTTAAGCACCGACCAATTATTTTCCCCGATGCGACAGACACGCGTCCATCAATGTGGCCGTTCCCTCATGGGCTAACGACCCCCTCCTCCCCGCGCTAGGCGTTGTTTTCGTCTTCCTCACGGCGTCCGCGCGCGTCGGCCGCGTCCTGATGCACCCCGCGATCGTGGCGTTCGCCCCCACTCCCCTTCTTGCCTGCAGACTGAGAGCCGCTTTCGTCGCTCTCTCTCTCGCACTCGTGGGGCGTCCCGTGTAGATGCGAGAGAGACAGAGTGACGGGCAGCCTGCTGCCCCCGTTCTTTGGCAACAAAACACTGCTGCCGCTTGACAACAAGATGCGCCTGGCGCGCCACGCCGCGCCTCGCGCTGCACAGTGCACTGCACAGTGCACTGCACCCCGTGAACGCTGCAGGCGGTCGCCACGCCGCCGCCGGCTGATAGGTCCGGCTGCTATTTCTATCAGTGCCCAACCGCCGTTGCACTAATCCTCGGTTAGCAGCAGCAGCCGATGCGTGCGAAACGATCAACCCAGGACGCCCGCAGGTGCATTTAAGGTGGCTGCATGAATCGCCCGGAGTGGCTGGTCACAGCATTTCGTGCAGTGTGGCGTCTCGCGTTTTTTTTTCTGCTCGATGATTGATGAGTGATTGTATGTTGGGCCTCCCAATCTCGCTAGGCCCCCGGTCCCAGTACAACAGCTCTCCACGTGGCAGAGAACACAACCGACAACAACTTGGGCTGGGAATAATTTAGTTGAGTTGGCTGTCAGCAGGCAGCACCACGCCGGCCGGCCGGCCGCGAGAGCCGGGTCGTAAGAAAGCAAGGAAAATAAAATGAAACTTGAAGGGGAGACGCCAAACTTGTCGCCGGGCTTAAATGCCGCAGCGCTTCGCTCGGCGTCCAAACACCTAGGCGGTGGTATGCGGGGCCCGGAGCCGGGCGGCGGCCGGGTCGCCTGGCCGCTCCGCTCGCCACGAAGCAGAGGCGTGAGTTCGGGCACACCACGGCACACAGTACACACAGCCACGTCACGCGGGGACTCGGTGCCGCCGGCGTGGTCGGCGTGGCCGCGGTGAAGCAGTGCCCCGGCGCCATCATTGGTGGTGTGACGCTTCGATGAAACGCTAAGTAGGCGCGCAAGGCCGGCGCCCTGGCCGCGCGTCCCCGCCGGTCCCCGAGCCCCGCGCACGCCATGCACAGTGTCTCGCACACTGTCTCGCACAGTGTCTCGCACGCTGCCGCCGTGGCCGGCCGGCCGGGCATTGCGTCAGAGCCGCCAAGTGCCCGCACGGCCCTCACCAATAACGCGCGATATATCGAGGAGCCCGACGAGGAGTTCGACGCGCCTCCCGTCCCAGTGGGCGGATTTGAAACCACTCACGTGAGCATCATTGGTCGAGTGTGGCGGCGCCGCAAGGTCACGGAGAGCGCCAAGGTCACGGAGCTCCCAATCCGGGCCGAGATCATCGGGGCTATGGCCAGCGCTTCGCGGGTCGTCTGCAGCCAGTCAACAATTGGTGCATCTCTCCACAAATTAGCGCCGTTTCCGCGTTGCTCGTGGCGAAATGATCGAGTCATGCCATTCGGTGGACGCGATAGATAACTCGATTATCTCGAAGTCTATGGCGCTTCTCTTTTCTTTCTTTTTTTTTTCGGCCGATGGCTCCGATGGCTGGTCGGTGTTATGGCAGACGATAGTGGAAAGGGCACACACCACCATGTGTTTGTGGGATTTGCCTTGCAACGATAAGCCCCGCGCGCCGCGTGCACAGCGAAAAATGAAAAACGTCAAAACAACCCGAAGCCTAGAAAAACATTCGGCGTAAGGCCCTACGTAAATGGCGATTGCGTCCTTTCTTCGTTTTTGAGTCAAGTTCTCTCATAAGTTGGGGCCTTTTTCTGTCCTATTCTGGCCCTTGCTTGCTTGCTACAGCTTGCCGCACGACCCCATTGGGTGACAGCGTCGCTAGGAAACACCACTGACATTTCACGGATCGCTGGAAACGACTGCAGGAGCCTCGCCTCGGGGCACTGCGAGGGGCACTTGGTGTGCGCTGGAGTGGGGCCTTGGCCAGGCCTTGGCCGTCGCGAACAATGCGGCCGAACCGGCGACGTAACGGGGCAACTGCGTAATTGTTTCCCGAATCGCTGCGTGTCGCTGTGCATCGTTGTGCGCGGGACAGGTGGCGCCCCAACTGCCCCTCCCCCAAAGCCAGGCCCGGCTGGCGGAACAATGACATCAGCTCTATTTATTTGTCGTCGGCCTCCCCCACCCCTTGCCCTTCTCACGAGTAGAACGGTGAGCCCTTCTGCCTCTGCAATAGCTTCGCGGCACCCCTGGCACGCGAGCCGAGCCGAGCCGAGCCGAGGCGAGTCCTGGCAGCGTGCGCGGCAAATGCAGGCTCACTGTACTCTGTCACTTCCTCCTGTTCTTTCATTTGTTGCAACCCGAGCCAGGGGAGTGACAGAGCCAGACCAGAGGCAGCTCCCGGACGCACCTCGGGGCTGTACTGCTTGGCGTCGAGCAGGAAGGACGCAGGACCCACACACACAGACGCGGGGCTGCTCAATGAATGCACGACACGCAACACGGCACTTGGCGCCATTTGCCGCGCGGAAAACTAATTAAAATTTGGCAAGCGCCGTCTTTCTGCCTCTCTCCCCTGCGCCCTGACGGACAAAGCCGCACGGAGCACCTTTACCGCCTGAGGCCGAGGGCTGGCGGAGGGTGGGGAGGGGCGGCGGGAAGACTTCCGCCTCTGGAAAAGCCCGCGGCGGCTCGTGTAGTGCTCGCACCGCCACGTGGAAGGGGAGGGGGAGGGGAGGGGGTTGCCGAGTCGCGTGTGTAGTGGAGCTGGGGGTACCGCCAGGGGGAGGGGGAGGGGGGAGGGGGCTGATGACCATTCGAAGGGGGTGGCTCGCCGGGATGACCTTGCCTCGTGCGGCGTGTAGGCCAGTGTAGGCCCAACCACCAGCCTGGCTCCCCCCTCCCCCACCCTCTCCCCGTAAGGGTGGTGGCGCCACAATTCAAATGCAAATGGCTGCGACTCTGCTGGCTAACTCGGTCCGAAGCGCAACACGTAGCCATAAGTAAGGAGGCGCATCCGTCTCAGTCGGCGGAGGTGTCGGACCGTTGGAGCCCCTTCCCCTTCCCCTGCCGCTCTCCCCGCCCCTCGCCACCCGGCACCGCTGCACTGGAGCCCGTCCGGGAGCGCGGCGAGGTCGGCAGTCCCGCGTGCAGCGCCGTGGCGGGATTGCATCCGGCAGAGCTCGGTGCTACATTGTGTACATCCAAAGAACGATTCAACTCGTTCCACAACCTCTCTCTCTCTTTCCCACAGACGGCCGACTGGCCCTGCTGTTTGGCTGTTTAGTCAAGCTGGCAGTTCATCAATCCGTTGATCGTAATGGATCCGCCCGGCCGGATAACCAAACTGCGGTGTCAGTGAACCGATCACAGCGTTCATGATGCGGTTGGCCGGCGTAAGCTGTAAGTCTGACTGCCATAGCCGCGAGCCAAGCCGGCCGTTCCTCAGGGGCGGACTGTCCGCCAGGTCGTTAGCCAGGCCGTTAGCCAGGGCAGGAGCCACGGCGTTAGCCACGCTGTTACGCTGTTTGTCAGGCTGGTTTAGCCAGAGTGTATAACCGAGCCGTTTATTAAGCCAGGCTGCCTAGCGAAGCTTTGTGGCCAAGCTTGGTGGCCACACTGCAAGCCCCGCCGTGCACGCCGCCGCGCTGGCGCCACGCACCCCGCCAACCCCGACGCCCGTCCGCATTCCTGGCGGTGCACGGCGGCCTCTGAGGTCCCCGTCGTCCCCGCGGAATGGCCCTGAGCACCGCGAGGAAGGCGCGCTAATGGACGGAGGCTGGCGGCAGTGCGAACGGGGAGGACGGGGAGGACGGGGAGCACCGCGACGACGACGGCGACGTGCAAGAGTGCACCTCGGTGACCCAGTGACCCAGTGCGGCAGCGCGGCCAATCCAAAGCAGCCGCTCCTGGAGTGAAGCCTGGCCGCCCCTGGCTTTTCCTCGTGCGCTGCGCTGGATTTCCTCTGAAGGGTGGGAGCGAATGCTCTCGAGCGAAAACTTCTGAAAGGCCTGTTCCGTTCCATGCCCGGTCGGAGTGGTCGGGGGTGGGAATAAGTGTCTGGCCGACCACCCCGTCCGCAGGACTACCCTTCGAAGCTGCGAGGGGGAGAGGAGGAGGGGGTAAAAGCCTGTCCGCGCGGACGGCGTGCTTGGCCTGTTCGCGAGGCCCAATCTGCGTGCGGCCTGCATCGTGCGAGTAGTGCCACTCGATTTATTGGCAGCTGCGCTTCGCGCTTCGCGCCTCGCGCTGTCGGGCTGGTTCAAGGGGCGTGTATCGATCCGCTGGCCTGCCGGGGCATGCCGGGGCCGGGGCGGCCGGGGCAGCCGGGGGCAGCCAGGGCGCGTATGACGCTGCGACCCTGACCAGCAAGAAGCTGGCCGGGCAGGCCGTGCTGGCCGTGCTGCACTCACCCTGCCGGCTCGGCACTGCTGGCTGTGCTGGCCCCCGATGGGCCCGATGGGCCCGACGCCGAGGCAGCCCCGCCGTTAACGGGCTGCCACCACTCCGCGTTGGCCGCCAGCGCGGTGGGGGGTGGCGGCGCGTGGCGGGCAGGGCGCGCGGCGGCGCGCGGGGCGCGGGGGGCCGACGGGGACGTGGCGGCGGCCGGAGCGGCGTGCGCGTCGCAGCTCTTCCTTGCTTGGCGGGCGCGGGGCCACTGCCTGGGCTGGGGCCTGGGCCGCGGGGGCTGCCGCGCTGCGCGCTCCGCCTGGGCGCCGCCGCCGCCACTACTCGGCCTGGCCGGGCAAGCGTCCCCGGCCCCAGCCCGCCCTGCGCCGGGAGGGCTGCGCCGTAGAGCCTAGGGCAGGGCGCCGCTCCGCCGCTCCGCCGCGCGCACCCCTACCCCTCCGTGGCCTAGTCTGCCCCCACCCCCGCGCCCAGCCCCAGCGGCGCGGCACGTGCGTCTCGGCCGCGGCGTCGCTGCGCTGAAGGCGAGGCGAGGCGGGGCCAGCCCGGGATATTAGTGTTTGCCATTTTAATGCATTTCTGAGCAGGTAGGCCGGTGCCGCCGGCCCCTGATTTAAATACTGATTGCTTTTCGGCGTGCTCGCCGAGGAAGTCCCTTCCGCTCCCGCCGACCAGCGCGTGCCAGCGCGTGCCGGTGGTGGAGGTGGTTCCGGTCCACTCGCCGCACCCGAAATGAGGCAGTGGCGGCGCGCGGCCGCGCGTTTCCGCGGGGATGTTTGAAGGGCGCCTCGGACTCTGTTCGGTGTTTTGGGGCTTCCTGTCCGTGTTCCCTGTTTCCGCCTCGGCGAGCCACGGCCAGCCTGGGCGCCGCGCAGTCTTACAGTGTGCGCACTGTGCAGGCAGCGGGGGCCTCCTGCTCCGTCCTGGTGATTCAATTAACTCCTACAATGTGTCAGTGGGGCCAGGGCCCGGCCCGGTCCCCGGTCGGGTTGGGGGCTTTGACCTACCGTCGCGCGCTCCACGCTTCTGGCGGGAGTTTTTAAATGCCTCTCCTGTCGTCAGCGCGCGGTGCGGTGCGATGCGCGGGGTGGCTAGATCAAGGCCGACTGCCTGATAGACGGCTTCGGCGTGCTCCTCGTCCCTCGGATTGCGTGAGCGACTCGGTGAGCGGCGGCAGCTACTCCACTCCACTCCGGCCGGGCGTCCCTCCTCGGCCTCCTCGCGGTGTCGCCCTCGCGCCTCGCGTGTCTCAGCGCCGCGCCGCCGCGTTGTTGTTTGGAAGTAAACAAAGATCTGCGCAGGCCCCGCCCGCCGATCCTCCCATCCACCCCCACCCTCCCCCACCCCACCGACCGCAGCGCGAGAGGCGCGCGCGGCTCGATAGAGGCACCCCAGCCGCACCCCGCCGCGCCCCGCCGCGCCCCGCCGCCCCTCCGCGCACTCCAAGGTTACGCAAGGTTCGAATGGGAGAGGGCGGGAAGGCGGGAAAAGGGATGCAGCCGCCCGCTGGTCCTCCCGAAGGACCTTCCCGAAGGACCTTCCCGAAGGACCGCCCGAAGGGCGAAGGGCCGGCCCCCTGGAGGACCTACCAGCCGGCATCCGAGCAGCAGCGGCCAGAGTTGGCTCTCTGCACTGTGCTGCAAACTTCATCTCCGTTTTGTGCAATCAATCGTGAATCAAACGCTTTTCCACTTTGCGCCGCGTTTGCGTTGCGCCATGTCGATTGATATTCCTCGCACTCACTACACGCAAACACCAACACACTCACACACACACACACACACACACACACACAGAATGCGTAGCGCAGCGACGGCGAGTTGTGACGAGTTCCCACGGTGTCATAATGTGTTTGCTCTCCGCTGTGTGTGCATGCCTCGCATCGCACGCCCCCTCCCACTGCACGCGTTCGCCCCGTCGACCCTGCCGGCTGCCGGGGGCGGAGGAACTTGTTTCCTTTTATTTGCATTTTAGCGCCCCCCGTCGGCCGTTCCGAGAATTGGCGGCACTGGGTGTGAATAACGCCGCAGCCATGGCGGACGAAAGGAGTGTGGCACGCGGAAGGCGTGGCAGGCTGGCCGGCGACCCGGAGGGGCTGCACGCCGTGCGACGCCGCGACGCCGCGCACGCCACCGCCGCCACAGCCTTGCTTCTAAAACGGCACCCCCGGCGGCCGCCCCGAGGCCGTGACCGTGTTACCGCGTGTTCCTGGAGCACGCCGAGAATGTCATTGACTCGCCGGGCGCGGCGTCGGCATACCGCCGTGGCGGCCCGCGTGACGGCCCGGCGGCGCGGCAGGG